AGTATGATATAAGAATGTAACACTTGTAGAATTTGACTTGAGATTGAACATGAATTTCAGTTTGTAAAGAGCTTTGGGATTCATAAACGCTGTGCTTTTGGGATTCAATAACCTGTGCTGAAAATAATTCGGGAAATTTTGATATAATCTCCATGGAAAATATAAGCTGAGGTTTAATGTTTTATTTTGAAATGGCAGCAAAGCTTGGTGGAATAAGTCAATAGGAATTTAATGAAGACTTCTTAAATCATGCAAAGAGTAGTTGAATTTAGTTATGAAGTTTCAAAGAATTTGCCTTGGGATTGTGACAATTATGTTTTCATAAAGTAAATATGAATGTTATTTAGATTATGAAATGCAAAAACATTCAGAATGATTGTTTATGAAATCCAAACGCAAAAGATAAATACATATTGAAGTAGGTTTAATTCTTGCTACTAGGAATAGTTAATCGGTATATTTTAAGTTGTAAGTTGGATCTCTTAGTAGATGTATTCTTTAGATTTTAATTTAATAGAAGCATTTGTTCTTATTAGCTAATAAAAATTTTTACAAAGGTATAAATATGTGGTTATTATCTTTAAGCAAGAATGAAGAAATGAAAGCTTGCTAAAGAATACTATCATAGTTAGATACTACGAAACTATCAACTGAAAGCAATTGCAATTAACTTAATGATATAAATTTTATTCGATTATATATGTATTAAAGCCTTCGTTTGTTTGGTAATTAGCTATTGAAGCTAGTTATAATTATATAAAGAATGATTGCTATTACCATTGGAACATGATTGTTGTAAATTAATGGTTGAGTGTCGATATTGTTGTTTTGGAAGGAGGATGGGATTTTAAGTTGATTGATTGCCCGACGGATGGGCTGTGTGCATTGATTTGATAAATATATGATAATATTGTGATATTTGAGCAGGCAAATAGACCAATTTTTAGGGAAGGTGCTGCCGAAATTTTGATAGAACTTAGACTAATTTTAACTAACAACATAATTAATAAGTTTACTTAGATTAGTTCTATAATTTGGTACATAATAAATATAGTGCTCTGATTATTTATTATTCATTTAATTATTTACATATTTATTTATTTATCTTCATTATTATTATTAATATTGTTATTTATTTTATTATTATTGTTTATTGTTACTACTATTTATTTATTTATTTATTTATTTGCATTGATTTTGGATGTTTAATTGTACATTACATTACGATGTCTAATTGATTAATTTGTCTGCATTCGATTGCAATGTTTGATTAATTGTGTTGTGATATTTTTGTGCTTTGCTTGTGTGGAATTGGGATGAAGTGGGTCACCATGGGTTTGTGATCCACCAATGGGTTTTGGTGAGGACCGGTCGACTAACAGCATGGATCCTGATTTATGAATTAAATTATGAAACTGGACTGTCCTGGATCGAGGTAAATGGGAGATCGCGCCCCGTGTTGGCGCACCTACCGTTATGATCTGTATGATATGGAAAACCACAGGTTGGTTTCTTTATTGGGCGCACCTGATAATCTAGATTTGATCGCAGCCCGTAGGGTGGTCTCTTGTTGTGAGCGCCTGATGATCTAGATTTGATGGAGATGACCAGGTTGCCTTCTGTTGGTATGGAAAAGAAAAGAGAGAATGGAAAAATAATGAGAGGGCTGGTCAAGTGAGGATTAGATCGGTCAACCAGAATGGGGGATCGGCTCCCTGGTGCACACGTGAGAGGATGGGCCATGTGGGAGGACGGCTCATCAGGGGTTTCGGTGACGCCACAGACCAATTCAGTGCCAATTTTCCCAATGTGATGTGATTATATGCAAGATGTTAAAGATTGTGAGTGCCTGGTATGTGCTTTTGTTGTGACTCGGCTGCGTGAGCATATAACAGTCGGAATGATAGATTTGAATATGTTGTTACCTTGGTGTGACTGCGTTGTGTTGTGCAACTAAACTATTACTTTCCTTAGAAAACTCAACATGTTTGTTTTGATTTTTTAGAAGTAAGTTTTTTCTTTAATTCTTATTTGGCTACGTTTTCTTCGCGCAGGGCAATAGAGCGCAGGGCAATAGAGAAATTTTCCTAGTTCCATAAATATTTTGCTATGTAACTATATGTATAAAAAGCTATGTAAACCAAATAGTTAGTGACTCCGCAGCTGTAGAATTTATTTACATTTAGTCATGTATTATCATAGACGAAATTATTCCGTGAGCCCATATTAAAAATGTGATGTATTGTTAATTGGGCCCGAATTATGGAATATGGTAACTGATAAATTTGGGCCGAGATATAAATAAAAATCTTGAGGTATTTTCCTATAAATATGGGCTGAATGTTTAAAATTATATTGAGATAGTTAATTTTTAGTGTTTCAGGCTTACTACGGGCCTCGGAGGCTTTAAGCTTACCTGGGCTCTAGTGCCGGTCCGGCCCATGGAATCGGGTCGTGACACTAATAAATATGTTTCAATATATATAATATTATATATATATCTTTAAAATTAAAATTTTCATCTGTTACTCATCTCAAACACACATAGGTTCACACACACACACACATATATATATACACTATATATAAATGTGAGAATAGGAAAAAATAATGGGATTTCTTATATCACCCTTGATAAAATTTAAAATATTCTAAAACACCCTTAATGATGGCCAATTAAAAATTACAATTTATGAGTTAATTGGATATAATTTATGAAAATTATTTTTTAAGTCAATCATGTGCAGTCTGATTGTCTTCTTACTTATATGGGGAGTGAGAGGTCTTGAGTTCGAATTCTCTCTACCACAAGTGTTTTCACTAGTCTTGAGTTTGAATCCTCTCTACCACAAGTGTTTTACTAATTTGATTATTATTTAACTCACAGTGTTATTTTAACCCATTAGGCCTCCTAATGAATCAAAAAAAAATATTTTTTAAATGAATACATATAAATACTTAAACATTTCAAAATTTTAAGTTTTATATTTACTAAATTTATTTTTTAATGGATATATATGTAATGAGATATTTGAAAAATTTTTATATTTTATTTATTAAATATGGAAATAGATAAAAAAAAGAAAGAAAATTTATTTTTTTTATTAATATTTTTTTCTTTTATGTTTGTATGATATGATTGGATATGTTTTTTAAAAAATAAATTTTCAAATAGTATATATATAATATTTTATTTAGGAGAGAGATATATTATTTTTATTAATGTTTTTAATTTATTAATGTTTGTAAGATTTGATTGGATATATTTAAAAAGTAAATTTTTAAAATAGATTTGACATAATTATAATATTTTATTAATCATATTTATATTCATTAAACGTATTTTTTTTGTTAGGTTTGAGTTACCAATTTGATTGTTGTGTAGCCCGCAGTATTATTTCGCCATTAGGTTCTTAATAATTGAAAATAAATAAATAATATATATATTATATATAATTAAGCCTTTAAATTTTAAGTTTTATATTTACTAAATTTATTTTTTAATGAATATATATAGTGATAATGAGACCATTTGGAATTTTTTTTATAATTTTTATTATTTAATATTTGAATTCTTTTAGAAATATACATAAAAAGAAATAAAATATACGTTTTTTTTTATATTTAATATTCCTTTTTTTATATTTGTATCTTTTGATAATTGGGGGGGGGTGGGGGGCGATGGGATGGTGGGGGGGTTGAGGAAATGGAGGATGGATATATTTTTAAAAATAAATTTTCAAAATAGAATATATAAATATTTTATTTAGGAGAGAGATAAAAAAGAATAAAAAGTATATTATTTTTATTCTTTATGTTTGTCGTATTTGATTGGATATATTTTTTAAAATGTAAAATTTTCAAATAGAATTTACATAATTAAACATTGAATGGTAGACAGTTGAAATTTTAATTTAAAAAAAATATAATATTTTGCTTATATATATCTATATATATTCAAATATTTTTTTTTCTTGTTAGGTGAGTTTTGATAAAATTTTTTTCTTAATAATAATTTTTTATTTTCTTTTTCATTACTGAATAATTTGCAACTACTATCGTTTTAATTTAGTAAGAGATTATATCTTCCTTGTAATAAATAGATGGCATGTTGATGGTTAAATATTTTTAATTTTCTTAATATTTTTTTCTCTTATATCCTAAATCTGTTTAATTTAAAAGAAAATGGTAGTTAGGAAACTTGAAAAAAAAACTTGAACTATATATTTTTATTTGGGCCACTTTTTTGGATTTCAAGAATTTGTATATATTGATTTCTCTGATACACTGAATAAGTAATACTACCATTATGGTCAAAGTGATTTCCATCATCAATTCAGATCATCTTCTTATTTCTTTTCTTTTCACTTAGCATTAAAAATAATTTATTATTATTCTTCATTATAGTTGTATATAGATATTGATTTGGGGTTGAAGACAGGAGTTGGAGATTGAGTGATGACTTAATTTTCTTTTTAAATTTTCTTTTAAGATAATTTATTATTATTCTTCATTATAGTTGTATATAGATATTGATTTGGGGTTGAAGACAGGAGTTGGAGATTGAGTGATGACTTAATTTTCTTTTTAAGCACTTATTATGATTTTAAAAACCTGCATTTATAAATTATGGATTATAGGATTAGGTATAAGGATTGGGTTGAACTTTATTCTAATATCACTTTATTATTTAAAAATAGAATTAAGTACATAATAAGTAGCATTGCAAGTAATTTGTACGACAAACTATAATATAAATTAAATAACTGCATTTATTTAATCAAAACAAAATTTATAATTTAATATTATATAAATAAAAAATGAGTATATAACGAATATAGTTAACCTGGAATGCAGGTAATACAAAAAATTAATATATATAAAATAGATCGATAAATATAGATTTAATGATAAATTATATTTATAAATAAAAAAATAAACATAAAATAAATAAATAACAAGTAACTACGTCAAGAACGCTAATATTTAAAACGCGCACACTAGTACTCGCTTTGGTCGAGCGTCGGTCTCAGATAGTTTCACACTTGCCCAATTTGTCCATCGTAAATCGCCTACGCCTCAAACCCTAGTTCACTGAGCACAGCCGCCTGCTTCTTCTAGCTTCCACTAAAACCTTAATTCGTCGATACTCTCTCTTAGGTCTCTCTCTCTCTTTATGCCTCTCTTTCTACATATTTATAAACGTATTGTCTTTTTCTGATTTAATTTCGTTATTATTATTATTACTACTACTAGATAAAATGAGAGGAAGGAGTTACAGCCCATCACCACCAAGAGGCTATGGTAGAAGAGGGCGGAGCCCTAGCCCTCGGGGACGTTACGCCGGTGGCGGCGGCCGTGGCGGCGGCAGAGATCTTCCTACTAGCCTTCTAGTCCGCAACCTTCGCCATGATTGCAGGTTTTTATAACACGTTTACTCGTTTTGTTTTGGATCTTCAACAGGCATTGAACAAGTTACGATGTGAAAACAAGTAACCCTTGTGTGAGAATGTTGAGGAGAATAGGTTAATCTCAACGGTTGTTGTGTATTTAGTCCCCGTTGATGCTCCATTTCTCATTTTTTTTGCATGTTAATAATACTGTATATCTTGGTTTTTTTCAATTTGTTTCGATCTTGTTGTGATATCGATTTTTTCTTTTGTGAAAAAAAGAGAAATTAGTGTGTATTCCCTGCTTCTCTTAAAGCAATTGCACAGCTGTGTTGTTTTGTAGTATATGAAGTGTGCATAAGTTGATAAAGATGTAGGTAAGCTCTCTGTTTTGTATAATAATTTGCTAGTGCGTTGTATTTCATAGACATGTTGTTTCGTAAACCTTAGCTTATAAAATATGGCTGCGCAATAAAGCGACATCTTGTGATTTATGTTTTGATTAATGTCAATGATTGGTTGATAAAATTAAAATGCTACCTCCTATCCATTATAATTCCTTTGAAAAGTTCAGCAAATGATTTAGAGTTGAATTATTTGTTTTACTGGTGAGGTATTTCTGGACAATGTGTTTGGGAATCTAATGGAATAAAACCACTTTGTTTATTATTATTATATTTGGATGACACAATTTATAGGTAAATGTTTGTCGTACTTTTTTTATGGGATCAAACTGTTTTTATATCACAGTTGTTTCAATTAGAAAGGCTATTTAGTTTTGCTGCAATCTGCAGGCCCGAAGACCTCCGCAGGCCTTTTGAACAGTTCGGTGCTCTCAAGGACATTTACTTGCCTAGAGATTATTATACTGGGTGAGCATGTCTCTGTTAACTATATATGTATACAATTCTGCAAAAATGCCATATGTTTATTCTATTCTTTCCTCGAATGGATTCTTTTCCTTCTCCAGAGGTTATATTGTGGGGCTTCGTGAAGTCAATAACCTTATTTGGCTATCGTTTCCAAAACAGTTCTTTTTAGAAAAAAATGATGGGAGCAATGTAAAACTTCTTAACTTCCTTTTCTATTTATTTCCTCTCCTTTAAGTATGTGTCTTTACCTTCCTTCACTAGAAAAACTTGTAAGTTTGAAGCATCAGTTTCTCACAGCTATTTAATGTTATTATTCTTATGATTTTTTTTTTCAAAAAAAAAAAAAAACTCAAATCTAATTTGGAAATTATCGTGTAAAAGTTTCTGCCAAGCTCGCCTGTCCCTTCTAATATCTGTTATTATGTTGGGACATCCTCTTCATGATTTACTCTCTTGTAATCAAAAGTTGGGTGTGTTAATTCAAGTTCTTGAGATTTAACAGTGAAATTAAAGTTTTGAAGACATCAATCAAGTAATTAGAGTTCTTTTGAAGATGATGTTAATGGTAATGAAGATTGGAAGGAAGTTGGGTTTGAATACATTGTGAAGAAGTTCCAAGTCTTGAAGAATTTCAAGTCATCTTTAAACTGACACTTGCAAGGTCAGCAGCCAAGTGCTTGCTTTCTCATGCTTATCATGACCTTGGGATTATGTTGGTAAATTTCATTGGCAAAAGGTCTATGGCATGCGCTGCCCCTGGCTGCTTCGTTGCCATTATGATGCTTATATTTTCTTTCTTTTTTTTTTTTTTTTAATCTATTTGTTGCAGGGAACCCCGTGGTTTTGGCTTTGTACAATATTCAGATCCTCATGATGCTGCTGAGGCAAAACATCATATGGATGGTAGGGTTCTTCTTGGCCGTGAGTTGACAGTTGTATTTGCTGAGGAGAATAGGAAGAAGCCCTCTGACATGAGGGCAAGGGAGCGAGGAAGGTAGACTTTACCTTTTGCTTCAATTCAAAAAAAAAAAAAAAAAAAAAAAACATGAGGGCAAGGAGCGAGGAAGGTGTAGGACTTTAAAACCTTTTTTTTTGCTCAATTCAAAAAAAAAAAAAAAAAAAAAAAACACCATTTGTTGGGAAAAAAAAAAAAAAAAAAAAAAACACCATTTGTTTGTGAGGCTTGCCATATCTGCCACATGCATAGACTCAGTTTTCTTTATTTGTTTCCCCAGTCCTAATTTCTTCTCCTCTTCTTCTTTTTGACTTGGATAAACAGAGTTAGGAGGCATTCCAACTTTTATTTTTACTTTCAGTGATTTCGTTTTTGGGTAAATGATTCCTGTGATCATGCTATTTGAATTGCAATTATAAAAAAATTTCCAAATGCTCATATAAATGGGCTGATTTCAGAGTTCGTAAAATATATGGTGAATTCATTTCATGATTCTCATTTATTTGAATCTTGAATCTATAGGGTTATGGTGCTTTGTAAAGCTTAATGTTGGAAAGGAAATAAATCATCTTCTTAGTTTCTTCATGATTATTTTTTAAATGATTTTGAAAGTCTTGTAGTAAATATCTCTAACTAATATTTGGGAAGAGTCCTAGAGGTTCTGGGAAATTTACATGTTGACTTGCTGGTTTTCATGAAGCATGGCAGATTTTTTTTTCTCTATTTGTGATTTTCTTTTTTAATTGTTAAAGTTCTGATCTGGAAGCATAAAACTTTAGTAAAAATGTTCTCATTCTGTTGCAGGGGCCGATTTCGCGATCGTAGGCGATCTCCACCTCGTTATTCTCGTTCCCCTCGCAACTCTCGCTCTCCACCTCCACGATACGGAAGATCTAGGTCCCGTAGTCGTGAATATTATTCTCCTCCTAAGAGACGGCACCACTCAAGGTATGTAAACCTCCTTTACAGCTAATATTTTTTATTGTACAGAACTCTGTTTTCCAGCTACCAAACCACTAGTTCTTCATAAAGATGCCTAGGAAAAAAGAGAACTACTTTGAATTTAACTCTTGAAGAATACAGTGATGCCTTGAGCGAATGTTTATTTATAGCAAAAATCCTTTTAAAAATTTATGGGTTTCTGGGATGAATTAGTTCTTTTCTTGTTTCAGGACCCTTCTAACCCCCACCCCCACTTTTTTTTTTTTTTTTTTTTTTTTTTCTAACCCCCACCCCCACTTTTCTTTTTTTTTTTTTTTTTTTGTTTTGCTTAGCTACAAGTTATACACCAAGCAACTAGGTTTGATCATGCCTCCATAAATTAACATATTATTAAGTTGCATTTTTTTTTTTTTTTTTTTTTTTTTTGCTTGAGCTAACAAGTTATACACAAGCACTAGGTTTGATCATGCCTCCAATAAATTATACATATTATTAAGTTTGCATTTGGAAGGTAGTTTTTTATTTCTAAAATCTGCTTCCATAAACTGTTCCGTAGTGCTCGCTAAACAATCTATATGTTCTCTTTTTAGGCATGGTCATTTTGCTTCCTGTTCCTTTATATTCTCTCTCTCTCTTTCTCTCTCTCTCTCTCTCTCTCTCTCTCTCTCTCTCTCTAAATATTCTTATGTGGTAATTTTCTCTGAGGTAGATCTCTTTCACCCCAAGAGAAGAGATATAGTCAAGAGAGGTCATACTCACGGTCAAGGAGCCGCAGTCGAACTCCCAATAGGGGTCAAAGCCAGAGCCCAAGAAGCAGAAGCCGAAGCCCAAACAAAAGCAGAAGCCTTAGCCATAGAAGGAGCCGGAGCCAGAGCCCAAATCACGATGAATACCCTAGGGAATCAAATGGCAATAGATCACCTAGTCGGTGAATGAGGTACTAGGCTGGGATGATTGTAATGCTATTGTGTTTTGAATCATGTTTTCCCATCGATGTAGGTGATCTAGGTTTTCTTGTTTGTTGTTCGGATGCTTTTTTGTTCTTGGCAGAAAATGTGTGAGGAAAATTTTAAGCATTTCAAGATTTGCACTACGTTGTTGGCTTACTAATAGATTATTTGGTATTCCTATATAATTTATCTAACAAAATGAGTTAATGTTGGACTAGTTCTGGCGCCATGGAACTCGGTTGTTGTACTTGGTATTTTTTGACAATATATTTTGACTTGTGGAGTTTTTTTAACAAAACGCTATAATGTTCTCTTTTGCAGCAAAATGTAGAACAATGTGTTCAGTTATTTCTATTTTTTTTTTTTTAATTTTTTGGAAAAAATTTAAGGTTTGGTTTATTTTTTAGACTTCAAATATTTTTCTTAGAAGAACTTCTCTAATTCTCTTTTTTTTTTTTTTGAAAAAATCAGTATGTTGATTTAGGGTAGATGAAAAAGCATTTTAGTTCTGCAATATATAATCGGGAGTCTCTTTGAAAGAGAATTAAGCTTCGTGTTTCTAATATTTGAAGTTAAATTGTTTTTTATTTCTTGAAAATTTAAGATGTAGTTGCATCTTATTATTTGAATTTATCTCTTATATAATAATGATGATGGTGATACCTCAATCTCATCTGTAGTAGTAGTAAGAACATAAAATTCAGTAGAGGGATGAAGGCCATAGTGGAATATATTAATTCCAAAATAGAAGGGTTTTATTAAATAAATTACAAGTGTATGTTTGAATTAATATGAAGTGTTTGGTTTTGGAATACATTTGTACTTTTTTTCAAGAATTGAGAGTCTAATCAAATTTTAAAAGCTGGATGTGCTTTTTGACGTTTACATCTACTTTACAACCGAGCATTTGGCATTTGTTTCTTTTTGGGTGGCAGTAGTGATTGGTCTATTTATTCATATTAAACGTCCATTTATTGACATTAGATTTTTGGTCAAAAAATTGTTTTTTAATAAGTACTTTTTGTTAATCCGTCTGGCCCTCCATTACCTTTTTTATAGATCATAATTACTAACTGTAACTGTATGAAATGAAATAAGAAATGCTAGCCTAATAGAAAATTAAAACTATGACCTGATTGCATCAAGACAGGAGTCTCTTAAAAATAATAAAATTAGGGTCTAAACTTTAGAATTTTGAGTTTTGAGTTTTGAATTTTAGGAGTCAGGGCTTAGATTTTAGAGTTTTAGAATTTAGGGTTTAGGATTTATATGCACTAAAACTTCTCGATTTGTATTAATTGCACTCAAAATGATATTAATCTTTCAGATACTTCAAATAACTTTTTTGTCAAAATTGTACTTCAATTTAATTTGGTCAAATTAGATAATAAAATAATAATATTCATGGGCTCACACCTTTAGTTTGAGTTAGCTAACTCAAGGAATTGGGTTAGCACACATATGATCATATTGCTTTTATCTTCCCTCTTTTCTTCATTGTCGATCTCCTTCCTCACTTTCTCTCTGTATCATCGAATCTTATCTCACTCTTTTGCTCACTCTGTATTATGGAATTCTCTCATCTTTCTATGTTGTGGACCACTGGAAACTTTAAACCCAACTAGAGGTGGCCAAAATCCAGTTTTGTTGGAACCACCGGTTTAAAATCAGTTGAATCCAGAATCGAAATCAAAATCGGACGGTTGCGGTTTGGTTCTAATTCTAAGTTTTTTAGAACCATGAACTGAAGATTCCATAAACTAGTCGGAACTGGAGGTTTTGACAATTGGCCGTTTCAACCGGTTCCAGCACAAATTCTTTTTTGGACCTTTTCAAAAAATTTTATCAAATCTTCAAATTAATCCTCCTAACAACTATAAATGGTTGTATCACGACTAATTTTAAAGGTAGCTATGGAAGTTATATTTTTTGGATTTATTATAAATACGCATTATTTTCATTCTCCTCACACCAAAATTATTTCTTTCTACCATCCAATCTCTCTAAGCTCTCCAATTTATAATTAAAAATTATTGTTAAATAATTTCTCTAATCTATAATTAAGTTCAAGCCCCTTTTTTATTATTTCATAAATGTTTAAATTTTAAACTTTTAACAAAAAAATATTCCCTAACTTTTTGATTTTAAAATTGTGTGAACCGCCTAAAAACCGATCAGAGAATCGTTCGGAACCGTCAATTTTGATCCATTAAAGAACCAAAACTGAAATCATAACCACCGATTTCAAACTGTAACTGGAACTATCAATTTACGGTTTGATTTCAGTTTCACATTTTTTAGAATCGGAACCGTGGCCACCTCTAAGCCCAACAGTGAAAAATGACAGTTATTAGATGACACAATCCAAATGTCACTTTACATGCACTCTATCACTCCTCTCCTTGGACTAAAAACTCTAGGAATGCTCAAATTTACAACACTAAACCCTAACCACCACAGCGATAGTCACCACCTCCATAATCACCACATTAACTATTCTCAAACAAGATGCATGAGATAATGACTACCGTTAATATCAAATTCTCTGTGACAATGTCCCATTATAACAATCTTATGCAAGCTTTCCTTGTAGTCATAACTCTCAACTGCATCGAGGATTGTGCCATCAACAACACTCCTTAGCTAGCATCATGAACATCAAGTTGTGCCCCTTAGCCGCCTAGTTGAAAGAAAGATTGAATCAATTGTTGTTCTTTAACAACTCGAATTCTACAAAGCTAATGACTTGCACGTTGTCATACATGACGTCAAAGGGCTCCTTATTGAGGTGATCACGGTGGAGAGTCACAAAGGTTAAATTCGAATGGAAACATTAATTTTTGAGGGGCGTGCTAATTTCTTGATGGAAATGTACAAGGGTTAAGTGGTCCAACATGCTTATAACCACACATGATATTGTTCTCACGTAGAACAATCAAATTCGTGCCAAGAAGGAATGGTTATAAGATTATAGGAATTGGATTCTTGGTATTGGTGAGTAGTACCATGCGTTTTGAATTAACCCAACCCCTTGGATTAGCTAACTCAATAGTTGATGTGGGGTCCATAAATATTATTTGTTTATTGTTTAATTTTGAGCAATTCGAAATTAGGATGCAATTTTAATAAAAAGGTCATTTTGAGGTGTTTGAGGGATTAATGTCTTTTTGGGTGCAATTAATACAAGTCACAAAATTCAGAATTTATTAGATGGTTTAGCCATTTTAGACTTTAAGATTTATAATTTAAGGTCTATAGTTTAGTGAAATTTTATTATTTTTAAGGACTTCCTTAAAAGGAGTCTCGCCATGTATACTTTCCGTTTTCCATTTCATTAATGATTAATGTTATAAAGTATGAGAAGAAAAGAAATCTGATTTTTCTTATTCTGTAATTTCATATTATACAAGATTATCTAGAAGTTTACAAAAAAAAAAAAAAAAAAAAAAAAAAAAAAATTAAAGATTTATTAATTTATAGGTCTATAGTTTAGTGAAATTTTATTATTTTTAAAGGACTTCCTTAAAGGAGTCTCGCCATGTATCTTTCCGTTTTCCATGATTTCATTAATGATTAATGTTATAAAGTATTTGAGAAGAAAAGAAATCTGATTTTTCCTTATTCTGTAATTTCATCATTATACAAGATTATCTAGAAGTTTTTTACAAAAAAAAAAAAAAAAAAAAAAAAAAAAAAAAAAAAAAAAAAAAAAAAAAAAAAAAAAAAAATAGGAAACTAGATCACTCCTAATAGAACTAAATCACTTTTAAATTTGGTCAATTATGTAATCGAATCCCTTTAGGATTTTGAATTAAGTTTTCTAATCTATTTACAACTCATATAAACTTCAAGACTCCTCCTCAAGCTGAGGAATAAATGTTTTCCATTCCCAACTTGGATATAAGATCATAGAAACTTGAACTATTTAGCCCCTTCATTAGAACATCAGCAAACTAGCATCCTAATGGAACATAGGACATACACACTAATCCTTCCTCCAATTTCCTTAAATAAAGTGTCTATCAATTTCAATATGCTTTGTCTTATTATGTTGTATAGGATTATGAGCAATATTGATAGCTGATTTGTTGTCACAGTACAGCTTCATAGGGCTTTCCCATTTGATTCTCGAGTCATGTAGGATAATCTTTAGCAAAAGTAGTTCACACAAGTGCCCTGAATTCTGATTCTTCAAATGACCTTGCCATAATATTTTGTTTCTTGCTCCTCTATATCAACAAATTACCTCCAAGAAAAGTATAGTACCTAGTAGTTGATCTTCTATCTATTAAGGAACCTGCATAGTCAACATTAGTATAAGTTCTAGAGTAAGAGTATTATTTTTCTTAAACAAGATTCCTTTCCCTAAATTGCCTTTCAAATAATGGAAAAGTAACACCCCTTCCCGGTCCACTCGTAAACCCGAATAAACCGAGTCGAGACGTTACAAACTAGTTGACTTTATGTCTTGTCATGCTGATATCATAATATATATTGAATATAATATCATGCTGATGTTGTTTACAATAATAATGTAATTTATATTTACAAAAAGACTGGATGAGAGTGATGTGAGCCTATTGGAATCTATCGGGGAGAATTATCCGGATATTGTCTTGTCATGCTGATATCAAATAATATATATTGAATATAATATCAATGCTTGATGTTGTTTAACAATAATAATGTAAATTTATATTTACAAACTGATACTAGTGTCAAAATGAATGGGCCCCAACTGAGGTGGCCCCTTACATCGCCATAAAAAGGGTAAGACAAAAGATACATATTAAAATGAAGTAGCCACCCTGAAGACTTTGAGTCTTCTACAGATAAACTGCAGCAGTTGTAGTGACTCTCTACTGTCCAATCTCAAACCTGCGAGTTGACAGGTAACTCGCTGAGCCCAAATAAAGCTCAGTGGATACTCAAACATATAAAGAAACCAATTAACACCTACATGTATAGAAAAGGAAACCATGTAAACACATATGGCACATATAGCACACACATCATGATACCTTTCATGATACCTTGAATTATCTTTTGTACTATTTATAATAACTGTATGATTCATGAAATGTTATGTCAAGATATCTATATGCTCCATAAGTTATAGTGAAAACCGAAGTGAATAAGAAAAACTGTATGAAAACTGGATGAATATGTATGCTTGGCTGCTATGGCCCATATATATCATAATCCATCTCAACGGCC